TTGTGCTTTTCTTGTTAATGATAAGTGTTTATCACTGGTATTCGTTTGAAACCATTTGATGACCGAGTTGCCCCCGTTCCCAGATCTACATCACCTCCATTATCTAGGAACAGACTTGGCTCCATCAGTTCTGACCTTTGGCGTTGTACCTTAATTGTGGCATGGGGCTTCTGTTGGGGGGCCTTAGGCTGCCCTCGGCAACCACCAGCCAGACCTAACCCAGCCCTTTGCCCCACCCTGAGACTACCTTTGGCCCCAGAAGAGGAGTTGGACAGGCCCAGGACATGAAGCCAAGTGCCACTGAAGTTGCAGAGAAATATAGGAAATACTTGGTAGAGTTATGCAGAAAGTATTGAACTTTAAGTTGGGACATACGAAAGAGAAATCCAGTGAACCAAGGACAGAACATTCCTTAAGCATCTTGAAGTTCTAAGTGCTTTAAAGTTAAGAAACTTAACCTACAACAACACCTCTTTAATGAAGGCATTATTATCTTCATTGGTATAGTGATGAGAACAGAGGCTCTGAGAGGTTAGGTACATTTTTCAAAGTCACTTAGGTATAGACTCCTTAGGGGAAGTCAGTGGATCTCCGTGGTGATTGTGTACATGGATGGGTGGCTTGAGACAGCGGTAAGAGGTTGGATGGAATACTACTCAATCATAAAAAAGAATTAAAATTTTGTCATTTGCAACAACATGGACACACCTGGAGGGTATCATGCTTAGTGAAATAAGTCAGCAGAGAAAGACAAATACTACGTTATTACTTATATGTAGAATCTAAAAAATATAACAAATTAGTGAATATAACAACAACAAAAAAAGAAACAGACTCAGATACAGAGAATAAACTAGTGGTTACAGAGGGGAGAGGAAAGAGGGACGGGACCAGATAGGGGTAGGGGATTAAGAGGTACCCACTACCATGTATAAAGTTAATAAGATACAAGGATATATCATACAGCACAGGGGATACAGCCAATATTTTATATTAGCTATAAATGGAGTATTATCTATGCAAATTTTGAATCACTATTTTATACACCTAAAGCTAATATAACATTGTAAACCAACCACATCTTAATTAAAAGAAGAGGTGGGGAAGAAAGATTAGCAAGCTAGATTTCACACAAATAGTGAAAAAGCCTTATACAATCATGTCGTTTTCACTGTACTAGGAAGGCTTAGGACCTCATTAGCTCTGGAACCAACGGCAAGTGTACTTAACCTCTCTCGGCCTGAATTTCCTCATCTTTAAAATGGAGGGGAGAAAAGTGATGCCGTCATACATACCACAAAAGGTTTTGCTGGTTCCAATGAGCTCATGTAAAGAAAAGAAATTCATACATAGAAAAATGCCATACAAACTCAACTCATTTCTCTTCGTTTCCAGTTGCAAAATTTTACAATCCAGCTGGGAAGACATGACATAAACACAACATACAGAGAATAACCACAGCAGTGTAACTCAAAGTTTAGATGTCTTGATATCCTAAAAGTCCTCTGGACTACTGGAGAATCCCCCATCCTTTAAAATTTAATAGGAATGGTCTTGAACCAACATCCTATATAAAATGAGAAACGCCAGCATTGTTCCCTATGTTTCTGAGGTTTCTTGGACACCTCCCCTCTCTCCTTATAAGCTATGGCCCTTTTCTCCTGCTGACTGCTCTCTCTGCTGACTGGAGTGCGTCTGCCGCAACACCTGCACTGGCGACCACCTGGATTCTTGAATTCGTCAAAATACCACTGGCACCAGATCATATGTAGAGCAGACTTACTAAAGATTTGAGAGCAAAGTTGGTGGGGTTAAATATTAAGTATTCCTGCTCCTAAACGCCCTTTGCCCATCTCTACCTGAGAAGTCTTCACTGGCCATCGCCTCACAGACAAGCCCAGCATTTCGCTCCATTTCTTCTTTCTTTTCCCTTCCCTTTTTCTACCTGCTGCCCAAACCTAAACTACTTATGTAGCAAAAATAACTAACACTGACTAGCTTACTTTGTAGCAGGCAGTATAAGTGCTTAATGTATGTTCTCTCATTTAGTGGACATTTTCTCTCCCATTTTTTGCCCCCAGGTGTCCAGGCCCAGACCCTTGGAGCCTCGTCTTTTTCGTTCCTTGACAAATATTAAACACATTTTTTGGTTTTGTTTTGCTAGGCACAGTGCTAGCTTCTACGGCTTCGGTAACAAATCAAACAGACTTGGTCTCTGCCCTCATGGAGTTCCTTATTCAAAGAGCTGATAAAAGTAACTGGTTAAATAAAGACAATTCTTTCTTTGAGGTTATTTTCAGCTTTTATAACAATCATGTCTCTACTTGCTGCAAGAGAAGACAACACTAAGACAAACAGCAAAATAAGACAAAAATACAAAAGATGTCACAGAGCAGGAGATGATTGGCACACAAAGAGTTCAAAAATAACAAGTACTTTAGAAGCTGATGAGTTCACTTGGTCACTTGGTTACACTGGTGGGCCCTGAGGCACTGGATTAGAGAAGGAAGGAAGGCAGGGAGGGCTGGGATGACTTGAGAAGGGTGGTTAAAGGTCTTTGGAGGTGGGCAGAACCTGGACTCAAATCCCAGTTCTGTCACTTTCTGTGTGACTCTAGGGAGCAAATTAATCTCCCTAAGCCTAACTTTCCTCCTTTGGAAAACTAGAATAATGACAGTACCTTTCCTAAAGGATTGTTGTAAGGATTAAGTGGGGGTGGGATGGGGTTGAGCAGGAGAAACCTGTAAATCTCATTAAGCAATGGCAGGAGCTTGGTAAGTGCCAAGCAAATGCGCATGTATAAAGGAGTAAATGTTCTCTATTTAAGGTCCTTACACTTGAACTACTTGTAAAAAGAGTATCTTCAGTGCTCACCTTGCCATTTAAGCAATTTAGTTTTTTCATATATTTTATTAATTCAAATTTTGCAGCAACTTGCAAGGTAGATGTGATTATCATCACCTTCATTATGCAGAAGTGGAAACTGTGCTTCCAAGGTAACTTTCACGGGGCTTAAAAGGGACTGGGTGGGGAGAGCATAGCTTAGTGGTAGAGCCTCTGCTTTGCATGCAGTTAGTCCTGGGTTCAATCCCAGGTACTGCCATTAAAAAAATAAATAAGCCTAATTACCTAACCCCCTCAAAAACCTTTTAAAAAAAGAAAATAAAATACCTTTCATCAAGAGTAGGTCAGGCATCTAAAGTAGAGTCAGAAGTGGAAGTCAAACACAAACTGTCTACCTCAGGCCTTTAGAAATAACTGGCCAAATAAAAGTCAATCTAAATGTCCATTAATAGGGAAACGGATAGATAACTTAGGGTACCTCCTTACACGGAATACCGTGTAGCCAATAAAATGAATGAGGTAGATCTATATGCACTAGTCTTGAACGACGTCCACACATGCAAGCAAAAATGGCAGCCGTGTAACAATATACACAAGAGGCTTTACAGTGTAGTGTCTCAGAGAAAAGACTCCATCCATTTAGTGACCCAGTCTGCCACTCTCTTTTCCTCACTACTGCTCCCACATCCCAGCACAGCCCCCTTCCACAACCTCCATTTCTCCTGGTCCTCCCGGCCGTTTCTCCTACTCGCTCTTCCTCAGCTTCCTCTCCTCTCCGGCTGGGACTCCTCTACCAGGGATGGAGAGCTCGAGTTGGTCGTGGAAGTCAAGCGCATGCGCCGTGGCGACACCCTCCCAACGCGGAGTCGACACGTTTGCCCCGCCCCCAGGACGGAGCCCGAGGGCGATTGGCCCCCTTCGTGAGCCTCGGGGTTGACTGGCACTTCGAACCTAACCCCGCCCGCCCGGCCCACTTCCGTCCTGGTCACTTGTGCGTGCGCCTGCGAGCGGCTTTAGGCCCAAGCAGGAGGCTTTTGCGGAGGTCACGGTCCTTCCTGGCTTTTCCTGTTCGCTCCAATGGTTTGTAAGATTGTTCTGCTGATGATGGTGTTGTCATGCTTCCTGCTGTTGCAGCGCTGCCCTCTTAGCGCGAGAGTTTATACCACATTTATTTTAAATAGGAAACTGAGAATAAGAAAGCGGCCCTTAGCCTTGTAAGGAGATAAGGCGATCCCTCCCTCTCATACTCTTACTTGTGTGAACCAAATGTCGCACGTAATTCAATAAATCGATGGTTGTGAACTCAGCTCCTTAAATAGTAGTAATTGTAGCTAACTCTTACATTGGGCTTACAGTGAGCAGTCACTGTTCTGATTCTTTTACAACTTCTCAACCTTTAAATGTAAGGTAGGCCCATTATCCCCATTTTACAGATGAGGATGTGGAGGCACAGAAGTTAAGGAACTTGCCCAAGACCTCCCTGGGATGAGTGGCAGAACCCAGATTAGAACCCAAGTAATCTGTCCTGATATCCAGTACCACCAACCACTGCACACTGCTGCCTTTCAGAAAGAAACCAGGCTAGGATAAAAATCAGTGTGCAGGTCAAGAAGCAGTTTATTGAGGATTCGTTTTCTTTTATGTCAAGCTTGGAAAATAAGGGAGAGAAGATAGGAATGGAGTCTGGAAATAAGACCAAGATGTTCTGAGCTCAGATAATTGTGAAGTGGAAGAAGGTAGATTACCTAAGGAAACATACAAGAACCTACATCCATGTTTTAAAATATATATATAATTTATTGAGGTGACATTTACATAACATAAAATCAACCATTTTAAAGTGAACAAATCAGTGACATTTAGTACATTCACAATGTTGTGTAACCACCACCTCTACCTAGTTCCAAAACATTTCTATCATCCCACAGTAAAATGCATACTCGTGTTTAGCAGTCACTCTCTATACCGGCTTCCCCAACTCATGGTAACCACTAATCTGTATTCTGTCTCTACAGATTTATCTATGTGGAATATTTCATATAAATGGAATCATACAAAATAGAATCATACAATAATAAGCCTTTGTGTCTGGCTTCCTTGACTTAGCACAATGTTTTCTTGTAGGTTTCTCTATGTAGCATATATCAGTACTTCATGATTTTTATGGATGAGTAAAATTCCATTGTATATACATAACATAATTTGTTTATCCAATCAGCTATTGATGGACATTTGGACTGTTTCCACTTTTTGACTATTGTGAACAGTGCTGCTGTGGACATGCATGTACTTGTTTGAATATGTTTTTAGTTCTTTGGGGTATACCGAGGAATAGGCAGAATTGTGGGGCCATGTAGTAATCTTACGTTTAACTTTTTGAGGAACCCCTACATCCTTTTGAAACCCTTCCTTAAGGCTATAGTATTATTAATATTATAAATAATATTAGATATGAGAAATATGTTAAATATTTTAAATCAGAGTGTCTCAACCTTAGCACTGTTGGTATCTGGGGCTAGAGAACTCTTTGTTGTGGAGGCTGACCTGTGCATTATAAAATGTTTAGCAGCATTTCTGGCCTCTACCCAGTAGAAGATGTCAGTAGCATCTCCCCAGTTGTGACAACAAATTATGTTTCAAGACATTGTCAAGTATCCTCTGGGAGGCAAAACTGCCTCCCCCACCCTTGAAAACCACTGTTTTAAAAGATTCACTATAAATGTGAAGCAAATATGGCACTAAAGCAGAATACTAAAACAAAGTAAGGGCCTCTAAGAAACTATTTTCCTTACAAATTTGCATATAGGAAATACTTTTTGTTTACCGTGTAATGTTAAGGAATTTGCAGGTTTACAAATGTGTGACAACCAGAAAAAAAGCTTACCGTGAAATATTCATGTAACTTTCATGCGTACCTTTAGTACCATAAACATCCACAGAACTCCAAGAAATAAAGCTTTTCAACCTCATTACATATTACACACCAAATCACACCACATCCCATAATTTTTAAGATGGCAACTAGAAGCAAGGTTGGCAAGATATTTTTTGATATGGCCATATTTATTATTTTAAATCTAAGCTCAGACAGAGCCCATAGGAAACTTCTTATTTGGTTCAGCCAAAAAGGTGCTAATTTTCATTACTGACATACAGTGAACCAAAATGAAAATTCTACATTTCCTGTTAAGGATCAAAGTGAGTTAGTGTAGAACGGGAATTCTAAGTAAACACGTTTGCCATTAAAAAGCCATCAAGATCGGGACTGTCATGGAAACAGACCAGCCTTAAGCACAGACAGCACTGGTGTAGAGTTCACAGCAGTTAACAAGGGCTACGGCACTGAACTCTTTATCTTCCCAGGGACCAGAAAAAGAAGGACGGTTGGTGCCATTCAGAGAAGTACTGAAATGAAAAGCCAGAGAGGTGCATAGTGGGTCAGATAAAAACAATACAACAAGACTCATCAATAATTTCTACCAAGTGGGTGAAAAAAACAAAAACCTATTAATGAACCCAATGACCACAACCAAATAAATAGGAGAGAATTAAGTGTATTTTCCGATTCATGCCCAAGATAGTACTGGCAAGAAACCCTACGCAATGTGTCTGCTTCTGTGCCCAATTCCTAACCACAGTCCTTTTGGGAATTTCCTTTCTAAACATCACTGAAGCAAAATTTATGCCTTGTAATGTGATTTAAAATTGAATTTATTTTAAAAAGTGAGATAGTATTTCAAAGCCACTTTCCTCTTTGGAAAGGAAAATAGCTCAGGCTTCCAGATGTATGTGTGTATGTATGTTGCAGCTTTACTGAGGTATGATTGACAAATAAAATTGTAATATATAGAGAGTATACAAATGATGATTTGATGTATGCATGCATTGTTAATGGATTCCCAACACTGAGTTAACTGAGTTAACATCCACCATCTCACATATTTACCTTTTTATTTGTTTATTTTTTTGGTGAGGACACTTAAGCTCTACTCTCTTAGCAAATTTCTATTACATAATATAGTACTATCAACTATAGTCATCACGTTCTACATTAGGTCCTCAGACCTTATTCATCTCATATCTGAAAGTTTGTACTATTATACCAGCCTCTCCCTATTTCCCCACCCCAGCCCCAGGCAACCTCCATTCTATGAGTTGGTTTTTTTTGATTCCGCATATACAAATATGAACAGATCTGTAGAGGGAAAGAGATAGCAATACAAAAATAACTGAGGACTTCAACACTCCACTTTCAACAATGGACAGATCATCCAGACAGAAAATCACCAAGGAAACATTGGACTTAAACTGCATATTAGACCAGTTGGGCCTAACAACATTTAGAGAACAGGGAAAAAGTGGGAGATGGACACTTTTGCCTGCTTCCTCTGCACTGAGTCTGGCTGGAGGGCCGGGGGCAGGGAAGGTAGCCAGCGAGTGCTCACATGACTGTTAAGAACTCTTCCTTGTTTACTGTAGTTCTGTGGGACTCAGAAACCCAAGCCCTGCAGACTTTCAGAGCTGGGTGTTCTGGAAGGCCATCTCTCAGGTGGAGCCTTACAAGTTGGGGCACTAGATGTGCAGTCCAAACCCTTCGCTGCTCAAGGAGAAACTGGGAGTTGGGAGTTCCCTTCCATTATATGGTGCTGGGCCAGAGGTGGGGTTTACGATGAGACTGTGTCTCAGCCTTTCCGACCCAATTCATTGTAGTTATTTTCTCAGTTGTAGGAGTCACTCAGCTAGTTTCTGGAATTTTCTTAGAGGGAATTACTCTATATATAGCTGTGCATTTGGTGCATCCTTAGGAAGAAGGAAATTCAAGATTCCTTTGTCATCAGCTTGGTTTGGAGTCATTCCGAATGTATTTAGTATGAATTGGACAACAACATTACCTCTTTCAGATTCTAGATACTAATGATGATCAGTAAGTGACTTAAGGCAAAATGCCGGTTGCAGTTTTGAAGGCATAAATGAGCAGGAAAGAGTATACTATTAAATTTTTTTAGTGAAGTTCAGTGAGGCTCCAGCAATTAGAATTTCAGGTTTTCCTGCCCCAGCACAGGTTTTTGTGGCAGTTTCTGCTCATGAGTCTCTGCTCTAGTGAGCCATGACTCCCTGTATTTACCGATCCGTCTCTCTAATCTTGAGGTCAGCAGCATGCCCTGTGTCCGCACCTCTTTTACAGATCCAAGAAGAGTTATTGATTTTTCACAACACTGTTCAGTTTTTCACTTATTGTTAGAATAGCATGGTGATTTCTAAACTCCTTACAAGCGAAACCAGACAACTACTATAAAAATATCCCAGAAAGTGGTAAACAAGTTCATTTTTACATTATCTGAATGCATCATGATTTTATCAATTCAACTTTATCCTCTTGGTCTTCACTCCTGTCTAAAGAAGCCTGTAATTTTTTACCCACTTGGGACCATTGCCAAGTCTTCATCTACCACCTATCTATATTCCAAGCCTAATAAATCTGTAATTTCTGATCAGTGAGACCAGCCTCCCTTACTTCTTCCCCACCCTCTCCACTTCTCAGGACCCCATCAATACAAGTAAACTCTGTCACTTGTCCATGCTAGAACTAATAGCATCTAACAAAAGAACACAGATCTACACCAGCACAAATACCCATCCCCCTTCTTTTATGCTCCATTAAGCATCCACGTGATTACCCTCAAGACCTTATTTCTTCCCACTCCCAGAAGACTCCTGAGTGAAGGATAGCGTGTAAGAGGAGGGAGCGGGGATCCTGGTGCTCACTCACCTCTGAAAGAGCTCTCTGCAGCACACGTAGGTCTCATAGGTTCTATTGGTGAAACTGGTGTTTAGGAAGGAGACACAGTCAGTTTCAGCTCCCCTCGGGACATAGAGGATTCCTGGATGAAGGAGACAGAGATGCTAAGAGGAAGATTTTTCACATGTTCCTGAAAGCTCGTAATTCTTTGGGTAAAACTGAGAACACTATAGATTTGGTGCCTTTTCTATGCATCTGTGAGATGGATGTTTACATTAATATTCTAAGACTAAGCTGAAGCACTTACCTGCCACACAGGCACTGATAAGGGATACACAGGCCCCTGTGAAGAGAGCACTGATCACAACCTTGGACAATTCACTCTTCCGGTGGGGTACCATTGATGCTGCAGACAACAGAACAAAATAACTCAGTCTCTTTCCCACCAGGCAATAGGGTATGTCCTATGAGCCCCCATTTAGAAGAATGCCGAGGATCAAAAAACAGCAGATGAGTAACATTCTTACCACCAACCACCAGAGGCTAGCCAGGGGTACCCTAAGAAGTATTTATATACATTAACCCTGAGAGGTCACTAACTCAGACATTCCCCAGGTCAAAGACTGGGTGTCTGACCCTAACTTCAGTGGTTCTGTGAACATTCCCAAGATGTATCTGAATCAAGCCAGGTTGCTCCTGACAGGTGCAAATGCCCAGGTGTTCACTAGTTAAAATCTGCACTCTTAAGCTGGGACCAGAGTTAGACGGACTATTTTGAGCCAAAGAGATAAGAAGGGCAACATTCTCCAAAACCTTAGCCTCATGATGTATATCCCACTAGTAGACGGCAATCTCACAATCAGATGGTAATCAGACACCAGAATTAGAGCACGGACAAGGGTTTAACAGAAGGGAAAAAGAGAAACTGAAAGGAAATTGTTTCATCTTTAAATTATTCAATCAGCTACCAAATACATTAACCTAATGATTCTACCCCAGAATATGAGTGCCATAGAAAATGGACACATTGAGCTATATTTCTTCTTATACTTTATTTCTAACGTGGAACTTCCAAACTCTTGGAATCTGGTAGTAATTTTCCCTGCCCCTGCCTTCAAAGACAATTACATTTTCCTCATATTATTTCCTTCAGCCATCACCATTTAGCAATATCTTCAGCAGTCTAAATGTATCTGTGCATACTTCAAATACTCACTCCTCCTGGCGACTTGTAGCTTTTAATCCAACACTCACATCACTCGCTCTAACTATCTATCTGCCTCATGTGTCTGCTGCTTTTATTTGTCTTTTGATTCCTTGTGCAATGCCTACTTCTGTGAAATCAACTGGTGAGCAGCATAATTTCAGAAAGTACCTTCACTACTGAATAAAAAAATTACTTTATTTATATATGCACTATGTCCAATTAATGGCAAACTAAAAATAATGTCATTATAATCATCTTCACAGGGAAAATAAAAATAAAATGGTCTTTTGGACCGCCAGTTGAAAGGAAAAAAAAGAAACAAACAAACGGAAATTTAGATTGTAAACTCAGCCCGGGTTCCATACAGAGCCACGTAGCATGGCTGCCTTACCTCCAAATTACCTGCCACCTGACAGGGCCCATTTCACATCAGCTTCTCTGACTGGTCTCAACTTGTACTGAGGCACCAGGACTGCCCACTATAGATGCTGGGCTGCTGGGACCTGGCTGGCATATTGGGTAGCTGGGAAAATGAATTAACTCACTCAAGCCTCCCAGTGTGATTCCTATGGAACTAAGATTGGCAAATCCACAGAGCGAAAATGTTGTGATGATTTCAGCTCTCACCTAGGGAAAACAAAAATAAGTAAGTAAATAAACTCAGTGCCGTGCGTGCAGTCATATAATCATGATAGACGCTCCAGAGGACTCAGAACCCCCAATCTTGTCCACACTACTCTTAGGAATGCGTGGAAAGGATGCTCTTAAAATCTTTCCCGGAGTTACTAAGGGATAATGATGTGGAAACCACTATGGCCTCTTTACCCAATGCTCCTCTTGCTGAAGCCTATGAAGCAGAAGAAGGCCTAGGAATGAGAATGATTGTGCAGGAAGAGACAGAGGAAGAGGACGAAGGAGCTCAATACATAGCAATTTAAACTTATGAATGAAGAAGGGGAGCTTAGACCATCAAAACTAGTATCCTCCTTGGACTGCCCCAACTGTAAAGACCGAATAATCACATTCTAGAGAGAAGGTAGGTCAGATGTAGGGGAGGACTAGCACACAGACCTCAGGGCAGCTTGGGCACCAACGAAGCATACTGTTACTCTTGCTCCGTGGTTCAGCCTGGGACCCTGGAAAGGGATCTGTAGGTGTGAGACAAACTCTTGTGTAACATTTTTTGTCTGCCCACACCCCGTTTATGCTTTTCTAGACTGTCACTTACAGAAATCCACTGCTTCTTGCCTCCAATCCACTCTTCCACTCCAGAAAGACGTTTATTCTTATATTGAGACAGTTGCTGATAGGCCACAAACTCATTGGTGAAGAACTTGATCCCCACCAACTCAGCCACCATTGGACAGTCTGCCCAGTCTACACCCATCATGAAAACCATGGGCCTTAGGATATAGGAGCAGATGACCTGGGTGAGAGAAAGAGACATCTCAGGAAACGGAAGAACAAATAACACAGGTCAGGAGTCAAGGCCTTTCTCTGAAGCCTTGACTCACCTCCTCCCCCTTCTCCTCCCCATGCTCTCCTAGCTCACTGTGAGTCAGGAAAACATGCACATTTCAAAGACTATTTAAACACAACCTAGAGGGACGGCCCAACAAATGCAATTCTTTACCTGAAAAGTGAGGCCATGTATGTCTACCAGTTCCCCAAGCCAGGAGAGGGCAGCATTGATGAATGCCAACACAGCCAAAAAGGCAATCAGATTGGCTGCTACATTTGCAGCAAGGCCTACGGCATCTGCGGCTCCATTGCTGGCAGCTTCTAAGACATTCCTCTCCTTCCTGTGTTTATTGGGCATAAAGGCAGAGTAATCTCAGCCCCTCAGAGAAGAGCTGTCCTACTGCCCCAGTAGTGCAGGAGTGCGAGAGGAGAGTGCAAGACCAGCTTGAGGGAGGTGATGGGGATTCCTGGTGACCTTTTTGGTGAAGATTACACTGAAGCAGTATCAGATTTAATCATCACGAAATTGCACTGACACCAAGGACAGAGGATAAGGGCATGCCGAAGCTAGAGGCAGGTGGGAGGGTTAAACAAAATTTTAAAAATCAACATGATTAGCTAGAGGCAGAGGTAGACAAGAGGGGATATGGAATCATATTAATCCTTTTCCAGACTTGAAGCCTCTGCCACCAGAGCACCACTCTTTGCTTTTTGTTTTTTGGGGAGGGGGAGGTAATTAGGCTTATTCATTTATTTTTGAATGGAGGTACTGGGGATTGAACCCAGGAACCAGAGCACTGCTCTTGACTCTGCATCTGACCTCACTATCTCCCAAATCATATGCCTCATTGGACTCACCCACGGGGCAATTTCACCCCCTCCTTATTCTTGAACTTGGACTCCTCCACTTCCGGATATACCAGCTTTGACAAAGCAAGAGCAGAAGGGGCAGCCATCACAGAGGCAGAAATCAAGGATGACGTGTCAATCTGTAAGGCCAGACTTAGGAATAAGCGTCTACAGATCCCAGACGTGGGCTCAACCAGGAGTGATCAAATAGTCTATGCCTACCCCGAAGGATATGAAGGCTCCCAACACAGTGCCTGAGATGGTAGCAAACCCTCCAGTCATCACTGCGTGGATTTCAGAGAGCGTCATGTCTGCAAGGTACGGACGGATGAGCAGAGGTGCCTCTGTCTGCAGATAAGGAGGAGAGGGTCAGATTCAAGAGTGTGCAGCAACTTCACGGCAGAGTGCCCACCCCCGGCCCTGGGTCACACCCCTCCAGTGTGAGTGCCCTTCCAACACTGACCTCTGCTCCTAGGCCCTCCCAGCATCTGGCTGTCACTCTGGCACCTAATCGTATCCTGGCTTGCAGTGTTCTCATGTGTTTTCCTACGTGTTTGTCTCATCTATTTAAAATTTGGAATGCCATAGAAGAGAGATGATGTTTCTTTCCTATGTTCTCAATGGCTAAAACTACATATTTAATGAATGACTTTAGGGAGTACAGTGTACTTACTGAGTACATATTAACTGCTTAAAAAGTACTCATTAAATGAATTGCAAATAGATGACTGAAGTCCAATGTTGATGAAAGAATCAAAAGAAATAGTATTTGTGAAAATGGTATGAAATTATGAAGGCCTGACTATGTAACACCAGTTTATTTAGTTTTTTTCACATCTGAGAACTTTATTGGACACGCCAGGGCCTCGGAGGGCCCAGTGCACTGCCCTGTGGTCCTGGGCAGGCAGGACTGCAGAAGGGTGGTTCCGTCCAACAAGTCTCAGGGCAAACGGTAATCTCATAACCGTCTACCTAAGAGTACTACACAGTTGGGAGATGGAGGGCTGCTCCACAGACGTATGAACAGGTCTATACGAGATGCTGGGGACACTGCTATAAATAAGGCAGAGTTCCTACTCTTAGGATTTTATATTCTAATAGAGGAAACTAAGCTGATTATGGAGAATTTAAGCAAAATGTAGCATGCTATGGTAGAAGTATACACAAGTACTCTATGAACTTTTCAAATATAGTTAATCAGCCTAGAGCCTTAGGAAAGAAAGACCTCAATACTAATTCTTTGTCAGTTTGACAAATTGTACCTTCATTGAGCTGATCAGCCAGTAGCATATACTGAGCACCTACTTCATACACTCAAATGTATCAAACAAGTATTTGGTGTTAGCCCTGAGCAAAGCAAGCTATTGTCTCCTTTGAGACCCTAGAAAACTAAGGTCACAGAGAGAAACCAGAATATAGAAGAAACATCTTTCAAAGCCCCTGAAGGGGGATAAGATTTGGACCAGGACATTTCCTTAAATTCCCATATAAGACTTTGGATCTGTGGTTAAGGATGTACCCATTATATACACCCAGGTAAGTAGTATTAGGTATGAAGGGTGAAAGCAATGAACTGAGTTCCTTTCGGGCTTCTGAGTTTTCTTTCAGCAGAGTAATTGGCTGCCTATACAGTCTTCATTTATTTGACTTTTCAGAAAGAAAGCCTACGTTTCTCAACCTGTTTTCTGCCACATTGTGTTCCACAGAGAAAAGAAGATCAGAAGGCTTCATGTGCTTACCATACCCACAAAGATGTTTCCTGTCACAGCCAGGGTCTCTGTGGCGGTGGTGCCCATGGTGATTTGCAAAAACCAGGCAATCTAAAGGGATACAAAGACCCAAACCAATAACATTAGCAGGAATCTTGGAGAGTATCCAGCAAAGCCCCTCCATTTTACTGGTTGGAAACTAAGGCCTAGAGAAGTAGAGTGACAAGCCCGAGGCCCCAGAGCAAGTTACAAACAGTGCCTGGACCAGAACTCAGGACTCTTGGCTTCCAGAAAAAGTAGATTAAAACTCAATATGAAACGGTAGTCCAGCCCATTTTCTCTCTTTGCTCTGCCCGTCAGCCTGCCTGGGGCCTGGTCCTGACCATCTGATATCAGGCATACTGATAGAGTTTGTCTTTTCACATTAGTTCTAATGCTCTACATCCTACCTATGAGCGTTTTTCCAAAATAAATGTCATCTTCGCACCTCCTGACAGATCCCGTGATCAACTCCCACCTCCTGACTGTGTAGAGGAATGACTCACCTTCTGAACTATCCACTGCATAAGGCCCAGGTAGTAGAGAATGGACATCACACATCCAAAGAAAAGGATGATCGGTAAGGACTATAAGAGAATGACAGGGCAACCGGTGAGATAGTACCCTGAATGTGCTTGTGTCCATGAGCAGACAGTACTTTAGGACTCCAAGTTAAGTTCTCAGCACCCTAAGTGCAGCTGATTCAGTGTAGACACTCAGTGGACACTTAAACATAAGCTAATAGTTAAGGACTAAATTTTAAATGTATTGCAAATCTATTATGCCATGGGTACTAAGTCACAAGGAGATGTTTTCTGAGCCTTCCTCTCCCACCCTATTTCATTCCAGTTTCAGTATGATAATGATCAAAGGGCAAGAGAGTAATGCTGTTTCCTCTACTGATGGGATCAAATCTTCTTAGGGTTAAATTCGCATATACACTGGCTGATCTCTTGGAAACACAATTTCGTCATCTTCTTCCCCCCCCAACACCGACCCTCATTCCTGCCCATAAAACAGATATGACCTGAAAAGCAAAGACATCCTTGATCAGCATATCCCCAAAGACAAAACTGGAGCCAGCCACAGTATAGTTGAGGAAAATCTGAAAGAAAAAAAATAGAGAACAAGAGTAAAGCCAGGAAAGACACAGGGAAGATGGGATCAGCCTCATGTACGATTAGGACCTATTGCTGATACTAGGGTTGGCCTCCCTTTGACAGCATGGGGGCAGGCTATGTCCCTGTGAGCTACTCACTGAATGACAGAGGACTCAGCAGTTCAGTTCTCTTTATTCGTCTGCTTCATTGTACCCCAGTATATTCTCTCCTCTCCCACCAGATCTCCCACCACTGTCATAAACAAGACACAGCCTGATCTTCCCATTCTTTCACCCAACCTCCTTTTTCTAGGGTTTCAAAAGAGCAGAGCCCTCACATTCAATTTCTCATACCTGAATCTGATCTCCCAGCCATTGAAATGCAATAAATCCAGGATCAGTTCTGATGACCAAGATCCCAAAGACAAACTGAAGACCCAGGCCCCAAAGCACTGCCCTCCAGGACACCTGGGACCAAGAAGAATGTTATTCCAGTGTGAGTTCTGAACTCAACTTGCTCATTACCTGGCTGGAGTTTTAAACATGGATACATGTACTCTGGAACCAACCTAGGATGTTAACAGTAAATCCGGGGTAAGATGAAGTAGGGAATGGGGAAAATACAGCAGTAATACACAAAGAGCCACATGTGTCCATAGGGTTTTTAAAACTATGTCTACAGGTTAGATCTCACACACAGACACACACACACATGCATATAAAAGCATCATAAACCAATACTTTAATATTACTATATGCAATGCAAGTTGATTCTCTATTATATTCTATTTTCTTTCTTTCCTTCTTTTCCTTTCTTTCCCCTTTTATTTTGTATGTTTGTTTTTCCTTTAACACAGGCCTAGATCCACAGAACTTATACCAAGTCTCATTAATGGATCACAACCTACAGTTTGAAAATAAGTGGTCTAGTACCTCTTAGAACCTTAACCTTCTTCATTTAGGAGTAAAACTGTCAAAGGGGCAAATCCCAAAGTTTGTTAAGAACTTAATCCTATGACTTTGTAATCAATACTGGCCACATGCACTTTGTAATTAGTAACACATGGTCCTTGGCTATGTATTACTATGTTACCCCGCATACTCAAAACTCACTGCACTGTGGTGTTTGGAGCAGGCAAAGAGGATGAGGACGAACATGCAGATTCCTGCGAAGGAGATCAGCTGCTCTGGCCTTTGGGCTGTGTCTAGAGCCAGCCACAGGATAAGGCCAATCAAGGCGACTCCTGCGAACACCCTGGAGAGGGAATTTCAAGACCACGTCATCAACTCAGTGACTGAATAACAAGTAATTAACTTTACCTCTAAAAAAGAGAAATTCACTGCAAGGATAAATGAAACAACTCAATAGATTAGACACAGAGACATATCTTGAGAATCATTCATCTGGTAGTTTCGTAGCTACCACCTTTCCCCAAAATCTTTTGCTCACAGAATGAAGCTGAAAGAGTCTAATCTGAGGACACAAGTCACATGACTTCTTTTTCCTCAAGTTCTCATATCGGTAAGATGTGATATAAAGACTTATTCTTTAAGATTGTTCTAATGCATAACCAAAATACTTTTTTAAAAAGGAGGAAAAAGTTCCCCACGGATCTCTACCCAATTTCCAACCACTCCAAGGGTGAGAGTAAAGGCTAAGCCACAAATCAGCGACTTATGCCTTGTGGCCCCTTGATGTACCAAACGTGCTTGATCAGTACGCAGGCTGGTCTCCTCATGTCTGAGTGTTGGAGTCACTTCAGGTCAATGGAAAAGAATTAGAAGGAAAAATCACAGATTAGAAACAAAACAAAAAGAGCACGTTGTCCATTGAGATACCTGAGGAACAACCACCACCAAATGGGTTACATGTCAAGGCTGAATTTTGGAGCTGTGCTCTCTGTGAACTCATCTCACCTAAAGTGAACTAAATGTGGCTTCCAGAACCCATCCTGCTAATGAATAAAGTCCTTAAGCTCTCTCGCTCCAGTGTCAAATAAATCAACGATCCAAAATTCAGGCTGCAATCTGGGCTGTTTTTCCAAATGACTGCTGTTGCAAACATTCTTAGCAGTTATTTTCTGTGCATCCACTGGAGACTAGGCAGAAAAGAGGAACATATAGAGAGTCTGAACATTATTCTCTCACCCCAGGCCTGTAATTGTAGGACACGCACGTGCTACAGTTAGACAGGCCATGGCTCCTGTAGCCTCCAGCACTGAACAGTAAATTTGCTCCTCAAACTCTAGAGAATTATAAGACTCAGTGGGTGTAGGAAGCCTGGAGGATTAGAGGGAAAAAAGCCTGCCTGGGAAACTAAGGGAGAAACACATGGCCACCAAATCAATTTGACAGTTTAATGCAGCTGTGAGCCTCTTTGTCTTGACTACTTCATTGAAGAGCAGCACAGTTCTCATTTCTGACATCAGCCCTGACAATACACAGACCGAAACTCTTCTCTGAAACTTAACCCCTCCCGCCCCCTAGCAATGTTGAGACATGTGGCTTCAAGAAACTGGACTGAAGTTCAATGCTCAGTGGCTTGTTGCTATTTGCTCTCTGAGCCTTCGTTTTATGAAGGAGAGGCGAGGGTCTGCGAGAGAGCTCAGGAACCGTCAAAGGAGGAAAAGAGAAGTGAGTTGGGGCTTGGGACAAGCTGTGGGACCAGGGATACAGCAATTCTTATCTTACTTACCATTTCATCCAAAGCTTCAGGCGGGAGTTTTTAAGGGGCTTCAGACATCTTGTTAATTTTTTCACCAAAGATCTTTTTCAGAAAGCGGTGAACCAGGACCAAGAGCACCAAACAGGTGAGGACGAACAAGGCCAGTGCCCTCTGGAAATTTAAGATGCAAGCTGCCAGGAAGTAGGCAGCATAAGCTAAAAAGAGGAAGTACAGAGTGAGGATCAGCAAGGCAGAGCCCTAAGGAACAAATGAGGGTCTAGTCATGAATGTCTGGGACTTAAGGCAAGAAAAACCCTCCAGAGAGCTTGTCACCCAGCCCGAGTTGTCGGACTGAGCTGCAGTTCTCAAGGCCAGGACAGATCGCTAAGTCCTTTCTTGAGGGATCCCACAGAGAGACCAACTTGGTCTGAATACTGTGTACTATCACTTGTCCTTGATGAAATCTCATTCCCTTCTATTTGATCTGATATCCTCTTTCTATCCCTTGGAGTGGATTTGACCAGCATATACTATTATACTATTAAAAAGTCATCTTTCTCAAAACTGTATAACCCCAGTCATTTTAATCTTTCCTCTTGAGGAAAGGCATGTAAACAAGGCTACCACTAGGAAGTACAGCTGAGACGGGCTTAGACCCGGGACCGTGGGCTACGATGCTTGCACCGGAACCCAGCAACAGAATACAGAGAAACTATAAAGGACTGAAAATAACTGTGTGAAGTGTCGGGAGCAGAAGCAGGGTACTGCGCATGATCCCTGCACACAGCACCACCAAGAGGGTGGGCAGACCACCTAAGCCACCCCTCCAGCTCAACTCTCAGGTCTGTCCCCACCCTCACCCCATTTAAGGGACCAGCTTGCCCCGGCTCAGGGAGCGAGCAAAGGAGCCTGTTACTTATTTCAGTCCCTCGTGCTGCAGCATGAGTCCCAATAAAGCCTTGCCTGAATTTCTTGTCTGGCCTTTTACCAATTTCTATTGATTAAGGAGGCCAAGAACCCTAGTTGGTAACACAGCCATACAGTCCTCATTCCATGGCTCCTTGACTTACCCCAAAGATAATTTTTATTCTCACCAACCCAGCTGCCTCTAATATTGACATCAAAGTCTCATACATCACTGGCAGTGTATTTTAAATAGAGGTTTGCCATCTTTTAAAAATATTTTACATCACTGATCTTACTAGTAAACCAGAAAATAAGTAACATTTACTACAGGCTTCTTTCATAAAGACTACAAGAACCATGCCCCACCTCTAATACAAGACACTAAAAAAAGAGATTAGCCCAGATTCTCTGAAATATTTAAGTCTATCAAATAGTACATTTTGAAAAACAGCTTATTCTCAGATTTTACTTATTTCTAGAAGTGCAACTCTATAAATTATATTTCACCTACAAGTAATTAAGATCTATACATCAACTAGCCCTTCAGATCCATTTGTGAGTAAAGTTGCTTTCCATCTAGTAATGGTCTTGACACAAGGCCACACTTCTAAAGCGACTGTCTCTCACTTCCATGAATTCATTCTCAATACCTTACCCAGACACAACAGGCTCAGCAGGATCTTCTTGAACAAGCCAGCATGTGCTCTGCAGAAACTTCTTGCCCTCATGAAATGTCGTAGGCTCTTCCTGATGAGAATCCAGAAGTTAACATACAAAAATCACTCCATCCCATTTGTACCGATTCCCAGAACTGAGATTGCCTGGCCTGAGGAGGAATTTTCTCTTACTGAGGAAAACTATTCATCCAAGAGAAGTTAGGTAGTATTCCAGCAATGCCAAAAAGGCCAGGTCAACCTTGCCAATGCGCAGTAGGTCAGAACACTCCTACCCAACCTGGACTAGCCATATCCTCAGTAATCTCCTATCACAGAAGTGAACACTGGCTGCCTCGGGGAGAATCTCCTGGGACCTCCTCCTTCCTTGTTCCAAGACAAAGGATTGCTCAGCTTCCAGATTCAGAAAACACCTACTCTTCTGAGAACAACTTTGCCCATTCCTCCCTAGAAACTACACAAACCCATAACCCTGAACAGTCAATGAGATGTGCACTGACAGACCAGAAGGCAAACACTACCACCTTCAAGAATCCCCTGGTGGGAGGGCCTAAGAGAAGATGCCCAGCAAGTAGAATTATTCCAGTTTAATTTAACAAACATTCATATAGTGCCTTCTATGTGCTGGGCTCTTTCTAAGAAGTTTACAAATAGTAACTCATTGACTCCTTAAAAGAACTCTTGTTGGAGAGGGTATAGCTCAGGGGTGGAGTGTGTGCTTAGCATCCCCAGTACTTCCATTAAAAAAGAAAGAAAGAAACCCAATTACCGCTCCTCACATCAAAAAAACAAAAAACTAAAAA